TTGGACTGTTTTTACTTACAACCTGACACAATACACATGTTGCTCACGTATACGCTACAACTTGGTCCACAATTTACTCGGTTCTGGTTTACTAACAAGAAGGTCCATCGGGGACGACCTCTTAGAGCTAGCTTGGTGACTCCGTCGAATTCCTCGCGGATATCATCACCGAACTCAAAATGCGTATCAATTGTACATGTAAGCAGAAGTTTGTAGTTGACAGTCTCATTGTTTCAAAATAATATTTAGTCGGCTCATATATGTTGTGAATGACCTCCACTTGGAGAAAGTTCGTGAACAGGAACTTCATCTCCAGCGACAGCGTTAGCTATTCATTAACATTTGAGATTCAAACTATGTCATGACATGGAACGTGTTGCTTCACTATAGTAAACAGTTTGTTCCACCGCAAAATATAAATTTTAAAAGATTTCCCCAATGAACTCGTATACTGAGCGGATGGTCCGTGGTTCGAACCCAAACGAGCGCATCGACTGCTCCCGTCTAGGCTTGCGCAAGTTGGCAGGACCTCGGCCTTCACGGTCACTTCGGACGGCATAGCAGCTTGGTGCTGAAAAGGCATCGCAGCTGAGCGATTACACCTGGTAACAATGCGTGATCAATGCCTCAGGCGGGGTAAATTTGAACTTTACATGTTAGATTAAACAATTTTTCCAGAGGGAATGACATCACATCAACGTTTTTTCTGAACTAATTGTTACAACCATTCAAAGTCCGCAAGCGTCTGCGTGGATACACTGGCAAAACTATTCTATTGGTCGACAGTCTCGCCGTTTGAACAACTGTGAACAGTTTTGCCTGTCTAAGCTCAAATGAAAATCCTGGGGTGCTGATGAGGTTTACAAAATATGGAAATCAGATGAGAACTGAATAATCCGCACGTTGTGCTACGTTGTTCGCCCCAGCATTCATCTGAATCATCTTCTGTAGGTTTAAAACAGGATAGTTAAGTTAAGTGAAGAAGAGTCGTTCATGGAGTTAGACTGTGTCAATCATGGTAAGAGTGCGCTGAGGCATCGAGGCGGACAACGAAGTGTATTCACAACGTGATGTCTCCCCATGAGGAATGAATCAACCATGGAACAGAATGAGCATCCCCTTCTGCCTCATTGGTTCTTTTTTTCAGAGAGAGTTGCTAGGATAGAGCAGCTCAAGTCTTAAAAACTGCCTTATCTTTCAGGAAGATAGTACCACTGTAATCCGTTTACTGGAAAACTTCAAAAGTAAAATGAATCCAGACAAATTCATTGGAGTGTCAAAAAAGGACTTTTCATTCATATTCGTTCCGATGATTGCCCTCTGACTATTCCGTTCAGAAATTGAATTTATCGATCTATTGTTCATGTGGATCCCACGGCTCTGTCCATAATCGACCGACAAGTTGGTTTTATGATCAGAGGTGGACAATGATTGTGCCACCACCCTAAGGTTTGTAGGTCGGATGAAGATATGTGTAGAAGTTGGCGAGACCAAAGCCTTCACAAGAAGGAACAGGAATGATTCAAGGATAGAGGAACGGCCTTCCAGCCTGGTCACGGAAATGTGTGGTGTTCTGTACGCATGGCTTTGCACCTATAAACAACGCAGTGGTCGTAAAGGAAACTATCCACAAGGTTGCTGAAATCTCTTCGACAGCCCACGACCGGTTTCGCCCTTCTTGGGGCTCATCAGGTATGAGCATTCTCCCACTTTCCGTCAACCTTATGTTCTACCTGAACCCAAGAAGGGCGAAATTAGTAATGGGGAGTCGAATCGTTTTCAGCAACCTTATGAGTAGTTTCCTTTAGGAAAGTATACTAAGATATCTCGAATATCGTGCCAGTTGAAACATGAGGCAGCCTGTGTGCAGCACATTCAGTTGTAGAATGTCATAAACAAGAGATTCACTTGAGTCTCTCGTGAAAACCAAATTGATTTGCATTTGATTCTCAAATGCAGTGGTCACTTTTGAAGACACAGGTATACAGATAACGCCAAATATGCCCGAAGCAAGCTTGTTTCCGCAGATTGAAACCTACTTATCGTGTGGCTCTTGAAACGGGATGCTGAGTTCTGTATTTTTTGTATTTTTGTATTTTTTGTATAATCATTTTGCGTTTGTATCATAACACGGTGAGTGCTCAACCCCAACACCCACGGGGTGCACAGCCCTAGAACATAGGGTGTTTGAACCATCCGTCAGTTAAGTTGAGTTCCATCCATTACCCATTGTTTGAAGCCCGTCACCGCACTGACTACTCGACATGGTCGACTTTCGAATGGGACTTAAACGCTCATGTTTTGATTGGTCTATATCTTGGTTCCCCGGGCCTCATCCCTCGGTTCGTACCGTACGCTGTCGTCCTATTGGTGAACTTCGGATGAGCCCACGAATTAGATATGGCTCGACAAATCGATAAAATCATTTGCTTACGATGCGCTCTACACAGACCAACTAGTTATGTATTGATCAAACTCTGAAAAATGCTGTAAGGTTAAGAGAAGCGCACCACCACGGAAAGCATGACTGTGGCGTGTATTGGGATAGCTTTTCCCCGTAGATTAGAGTAGTTCAGGAAAGAAGTTAGCAAGAACATCTATTTTGCGTCTACATCGCTAGCGTGTTATCCCGTCCCTCAACTGAGATCTTGATTTCGTGGAAGACATATTGCCAGTTCCGCGAAATTGATGGTTACCGTGATCTCTGCATCACCCTTGGTGCAACACGACTCATCGGCGCTTGTAGGACTCTGTTATCCTGGAATCACAGAAGTGATACAAAGTGGTAATATCACGTGACTGGTTCTGGGTTTGTGTTCTTGGTGAAAGTCAGGATCCAGCCCCGAATTAGGACCAGTGTGCGCACTCGAAGTACAGGAAAGATAAAAGCTGCTGACATCGGGGTGAAAAACACCAACCTTTCGTTATACACAAGCGCATGGGGAAACAAAACACCGAGAGGCTTCAGACAACCAAGCTTCCTTTGCAAGGTCAGAGACCAAGGTAGCAGAAAGCGGTGCGATTGGGTGCATAAGGTAGAGAACATCGTGAATGCCGTTAGCCTTCATGAAAGTAGACAATGATGATCAAGGTCACAAAATAGTGATGCTGTCATCATTCTGTTTCGTCAGCGATGTCATCCCATGTGAGCAAGTCGTTTTTTGTCATTCCAACTTAATTCTCCAGAATAAAATCCAAATAGTTAGACCATTGGCCCCCCATTTTTGAAGGTTCTTATGAGAAGTCCATGGGATTCGAGAGTGTTCCTGATCGGTAATTACAGAACAAAGTAGTACCCAGTAGCTGGATAACCAAAAATCAATGAAGATCGATGACAATGGTCAAACGTTAAAATAGCAAACAGCACAATGCGACCCAATCTTTGAGAGTATCACTCAGCTTGGACCGGCTTACAGTTTTCCCCGCCTGATAAGCCAACTAAGGGCACCTATAAAAAAGGCCTATTCGAAAAATTGATCACATTTAGGAGAGGGTTTGCCAGTGAAATTCACTCACAATCTTGTGGTGACCAGTACTCGGAAGGGATAAAAAACGGCTGTTTACACATTGATTAAAAACATTAGCCGAACTGATAACGCAGAAACGTGTGACGGAAAGCACAACGAGGATATTTGCTCTTCGTTTTTTTTTAACTCCAGGTTTGTGACACTTTCTATCCCATCTTTTCCGACACTTTTTCAACTGTTCGGCATTTTTCAATCAGCCTTTCAAAAGCAAATTTGATAGTCCGCTCACGCCAAATTAGAGCGTTACCTCCGCTGCTTGTCAAGAAAACAGCTGCACGTCAACTAACGAGAAGAAAACTCGGGTCGATTTCAGATGGTTCCGCCACCACAAAATTGGACATAAAAAGCTGTCTGGTACGTTACTAACGAGGTAAAGTTGTTCGTGCCAACGAAAGACGCAAGTGTCTGATTTTTCCGAACTAAATTTGCTGCCAAATTACCGCCTCACGTGACATTCGTTACTGTATTTATTTACACCAGTTTAATTTGAAAATGAGTGTATTCCTAAGAATTGCCGTAACAATTTGATTTACAATTAGAACCTGTGGGGGGGGGGGCTAGGCCAGCCTGAAGGGCTCCAAGAAAGGCGGAACCGGTTATCGTGGTGGATGGATGAACAGTGTATCAAGAACGTCTGATGCGGATTTTTGCCAGTACTGTACATGAACACTGTGCTTGTCACACAACGGCTCCTTTCATAAATCACCTCTAAAATTGAATATCTCAAGGTGAACAGGAAGAAACAGCGGGAATATGGATGGAAATGTCTATTCTGTGGTCGAAACGGTTCCAAAAATAACTATTCACGTTTCCGGGCAGTTTCGCAAATTAGTTGTTGTTCAGTCGCGTTTTGAATCGGATAGTGGTTCCACGCACTCGTTTTTTTAGCTATCATGCTATGGATTATTACATTGATGCGTGGTTTCTGCTTCAGTCTCAGCAACACAGTCAAATTAGAATCCAAGAGGCCCATTTTACCTCCCAGAGAAGATAAGTACACCTCAAAAACGTAACCAACTTTGTGCATACTAGCCATATTGATTTTTCGTCGGTTCAAAAGTTGTTCTACTTAGGTCCATTTCGTTAGCGCTACCTGATTGGAAAATTCTGACAGGCGGGCCAATCGATCGGGACATTTAATTGGTCGTCGTTTGGGGCATCGGGCTAACCAACCACATCGCTCAATTGTGAACAGATCTGCCTTTTCAAATGTGCGCTAGCAGAGTAGTGATAACAAGCCCACTTCGAGTGTCACGTGTGCGAGATCGAACCCCGGCAACGAGACTTGGGTCTGCCCTTTAGAGAATGCTCATCTCAATGCAGTGTCGGTGGTTTCTGAAGCTGAAACTATTTGCTGAGTAGAAGAAGCAAACAAACAATCCTTGCTCACGTTCTGGTCTCAAAACCAGTTGACCAGAGCGAGACTTGTTGGCAGTAAGCGAGTTTGTGTGGGCGATATTGCTCAGGGGCGAAATGACTTGGTGGGCAGAGCACAAGTTTACTGAACGCAAGGTCCCTGGTTCGAACCCGACCTCTAATTCTCGACCTTTTCCGTCTAGGCTTGGGCAACCTGGCGGTACCCCATTCCTCGTACTTCCTCCGGATGGCATGGCAGCTAGGCACCGAAAGGGTGTTTTAGAGCTGATCAATTACCAGTTATTTATTATTTAAGAGCTTACCTTCTACTGATGACGTTATTATATCACATTTTGCATCATGTTTCTGAGTTCAGCTTTTTTAGATTTAAAACAGTTGTTTTCATTCAGTAATTTAGATACCACAGAAGACGGAGAATAATACACGCATCCATTACAAGAAGGTCATTGGTCACGTGAATACAGAGTAATTGACCATCTAGAGAAAAATGACCTACACACCGCAAATATTGATTTCTCTAGATTCGGGAATCGCAGCAATGATCTGATGAGCTCGATTAATAGTTACACACGTACTGTGCAGCACATGTGTGGTTAAACCAAGGCGCTTCTGTGTGTGCGTACGCTACTGAGTCTCATTTCAAAACTCACTGTTTCTCTAGGGCCGTGTGCTCGAATCAGCGCGCATTCGAATCTCTCGTCCATAATTCTCGTTGGCTACGGTCGTCAAACCCCACTTGGTGGCTGTTACTGCGACACAGATTCAAGTTGGCCGGAAGTCAATTCAAAAAAGAGTGGAAAGCACCAAGTCTAATAACACCTTGGTTCCCAGTGAGATACGAGTGAGGGTGTCAGCGATTCACCTAAACTTTGAATGAGGATAGATTGTCTTAGACAGTGAATTCGTCAGAAAGATTATTTTCCATTGCACTGCATGACAGTTTGGAGACAACGATTCCCCGATGACCATCTTTCATTTATTGGAGGCCAGTAGTAGGTGGCAAAATTAGCAGGGGGAATTTGGATCTGATATACTACTCACAAAATTGCTGAGAACACTGCGATTCAAATGAGCGTAGTTCGCGAATTTGAATCTCCCTGCTGAATTAGTCTGCCAAACTCGCGAAACAGGGAAAAATATCGCTAGTTTCTGGATGTCAGTTTCATAGCATCGCGAATATCATCATGGCGTTTCGGTCATCGTGGGGAGTCACAGTGAGGGCGGGGGAGTTCTCCCAACCAAACACACATGGAACATCATAAAATAATGTCAATACTTGGTCGTACGTGCTTGTAAACAGGTGTGCAACGCACAGATATTTTTGATCATGTGACTAGTCCGTCCATTTGAAGTCGCATACCGGTAAATGCGTTCTCCCATTCTGCCAAATACTATAGCGCGCCTGTTCGTAAATACAGGGAGACTTCAGCAGCCCACTTGGCAAAAAGGTTGGTTCGAAGTTGTTAAATTACACTATCACACTACCGAAAGTAGCACTGAATCCAACCGAAGCGCAACTAAATGGTGGAAAATACCGCCCACAGAGAAGTCTTGCATGACCACGATTTGGAATGGGACCGTTCTTTTCAAAAAATATTTTCGTCCAGCAAACTAAGTAATATTCTACCTACATCAGAATTAGAAGAACAAAAAGCTCCGTAACTGTCTACACCCCACCCAGTTTTTTCAGAGAAACTGGTGTGGTTTCGACAAACAAACTCATTTGCAAGTCGATTTGGTCTCCACGGGAGATTCAAGCGAATCTCTTGTGTATGATGTTATTCAACTGAATGTGCTGCACACAGACCACTTCACGTTTCAGTCGAAAAGTTTTCAGCAACCTTGTGAGTGGTTCCACTTATGAAGCTAGTCTGGTGTTTTTGAGTTTCCGATTAAAACTGCCGACAGAAGGAGTGCATAGCCCTTCAGGCCGAGCCGTACACGTTTCCTAGATGAGTCGTAACCTTGAGCCCTATCGATACCATGTGGTTTATTGGATGGCAGACCCAACCAGCCATACGGTCCGGTCAGCTTTATCTCAGCTCTGCGTTTTTCCGACTGGCTTGTTTCGTGTGGAAAGATACTTGCTTGTCTGTGCAACTCAATCCATCGAAAAAGACGCTGGTACTTTGAGTCTCCTTCACTTCCGGTGTGTCGTTGCGCGATTTGTAGCATTGACGTCCGAACGGTTCTCTTTGTGTCCTAGTTAGTCCTGACAAATGGGTGGGGAAGCACTGGATTCGAATTTCTGGGGCGAGATGGCCCAAGTGGTTAGAGCGCGAATTTACTCACCGGAAGGTCCGTGGTTCGAACCCGACCTCTGCCTCTCGATTATCCCTGTCTAGGCTTAAGCAACCTGATAGTGTCCCAGCCCCTCGTGCTTCCTTTGGGTGGCACGGCAGCTAGGCACCGACGGGGTGTTACAGCTGAACGAATTTCAGTCTTGTTATAACTCACCAGAGGTTCATACCTGTGGCTTTGACAGAGTATGTACTAAATGGTAACAGTACTCCACCAACGCGCATTGGGGCACCTGGGTCATCACGTGTGATCAGGCGAACGTAACCACCTTGATTTGTGTGACTGGGCGGTTTTGATAGGTGATACTCTCGATGCTTTCAGGGTGTCCTGACGGAGTAGCGGTAACAAGGACTGGCCAGAAAAACCGTGCAAGGACTAGAAGAGCAACGCGACTGTGAATTCTTTATTCCTTTTTCCCAGTCTGATAAAATAAGAAAACTCTTATGCAGTTATCCGATATTTTCCTGGCATTATACCTGGGGATATTGTCAGTGCCGCATACACTGACGGGTCTGATCTGTACACTACTGTTGCACCCCCCATCGGATCTAATTAATCTTCGAGTGTGGCGTTCCTGCGCCTTCAATGGTCTCGTCAGTTCGCATAAACCCCGATTTGCTTCGAAGCGCTGTTTTAGCTCACTTTTTGTTGAAGGCTTCTGATTGCTATTCATCATAACTGTCTGCCAGTGTGTGGACAACACAGTTATTCGCCGCCCGTATTCAAGTCGAAAGTTTCCTTTCTATATTAAAAAAATGATTTTTCGATCCGCCGGTCTCCCAATCTCTCCCTTTGATTGTACCGAATTGTCCTGGGTTTCCTTTTTGACGATTATCTGTCATCTTTTTTCTTCTAAATTTCCAAAACAAAAACGTTACTTCTTGGGACTGGAACTCTTTTGGATATGTGTCGGTACATGAGTGTCATACTGGCCTTTTATCAGTAGCGATTAGCAAAAAGAATACGACTCATTCGTTACTCAATCAAAAAACAGGATGTTTTCATGCGAGCGAGAAAGAATACGGACCGGATAGTTTGCCAACTAGTTAAAGACGCCGGTGTGGTACAACTAAGCCACCTGGGCTATAATACCAAGGTAAACACATTCTGTGAGATACCACTGAACTCTTGTTGCTGGAAGGTCGAAATGGAGAGGATTGAAGAACTTTTAGTGACCACCCGCAAAAGACCACTAGAAGAAGGATTCATCACAGCGCAGACCAGGTGACTTGTACGCATGTTCTTTGTATGCTCAAGTTTAACCAACTTCCAGTACCCCCCCCCCTACACCTAACTACCCCTGTCATTTGATGCTCAACTGGCATGTGGGACTCTCAAGCCGGCTGTAAAGTGATTGGCAAACATGACCCACAAGAAATTGTGGCCTTGATTGAATATATAAGAGATCAATAAGAAAAAAACCCTTCTCTCTTCAGGTATCTCCTCGGCGTTTTCTAGTGTGTGCTCTGGCGTGAGACGATGAATCTATACTCACGGGGAACTCCAGGTAGCCAAACTCGAACGAATTCATCCACGTTGCACCATTCAACGACAACCACTGTCATCAGGCTGATAGATACGTTTTAGAACTGGCAACTACCGCTGTAACGGTGATACTACTGATGGGGGGCATGCGAGTAGTATGTTTCCTTGTAAATTCGCTTTGCGTCTCTTGAAAAAAGAGATTTATTGCGGAATTTGTGGAGTCGCTTTGTAGCATTTGCTTGGATATGAGCGACAGTCCAGGAAAGTTCAGAAAGACGCGTCCAAAGAGAAGATGGATATTTAGTTTTTGTAAACAGGATGCATATGGGAGTTTTGCTTCCCTGTCCAATAGTCTGTAGCTGTTCATTTGGCATTTTCTAATGAATACCTCCACAGCGAAAACCTTCTTCCTTTCACCAGAAGTCGGCTAACTCATTGGGCCACTTTTACGAGTGTATAAATACTCACTTGTCCTTTTGGAGGTCAGATCATTGACAGGAGCTGAAAACGCTGTTTAAACTCATGACTGATCGTATGACTTCCGGGCTGTATAGAAGAATTGCTAAACTATTGGAAATTCGATGCTGACGCACCTGTGGAAATTCGGGACAATTCATGTGCTGCGTTTCAAGTCACGAACTTGTCGTCATTGGAAAAGAGGCCAGTCGGTCAACATGCATCACCATGATCGAACTGGGCGATCTTGGTGAGCAGAAAATTCACGGCCGAAATCCATCCTGTCTTGGCTTACATCTGAAAGATTAATTAATTGATTGATTGATCGATCGATCGATTGATTGATTGATCGATCGATCGATTGATTGATTGATCGATCGATCGATTGATTGATTGATCGATCGATCGATTGATTGATTGATCGATCGATCGATTGATTGATTGATCCCACTGACATAGGAATCCAAAATTCCATGTCTCCGATTATCGAAACATCCTATTGGGTGGCTGACCTCATTTTGTCATTGATAAGGAAAGACGCAGTAGTCCACTTGCGTTGAGAATTCCTTACTGTGTACTTTACGCTGCAACAACTGTTTGGTTTCGTAGAGTACAGTTTGGCGGACTCGCTGATCTATTGCTTCTCCCATCCTCGGTAATCAGGACCTTCCAGCCTACAATACGTATTCGCCTAATGTCTTATCTTGCAAAGAGTATCCCTTAGATTCCAGTCTTTTGAAACCTTTTTACAGTTTAGACAAAAGAGCAAGGTCAATGAATACATGCCGTAGTACTCGTGTTCCATCTGTGGCCTGCCTACTCCCGCGATTAGCGGCCAACTCATGTTCATACGTCTGGTACGATTTGTAGAGTGACCCCCATTTCATCCAAATTTTCAATCGATTTACGGCGTACCCATGGATCACGTTGTAGTTATTGATTTTGTACCTGATATGATTGCGACAGATTATTATCCGTGAAATTCACGTAACCTGTTACTTCCAAATGAAGTTTGTTTTTTACTTTTCATAAAGTACTCACAAGACAGGTCGCCTCATAATTCAGTTGGCACGTTATTTGAAATATCGTAGTATATTTTTCATAAAGGAAAAGGAAGGTTGCTGAAAACTCTTCGACAGCCAACGACTGGTTTCGCCATTTTCGTGACTCACCAGGTATGCGCAGGTATCCGCCAACCTTATGTTCTACTTGAATATCGTGCCAACTGAAACATCAGGCGGCGTGTGTGCCGCACATTTAGTTGTAGAACATCATTAACGAGAAATTCAGTTGAGTCTCTCATGAAAAACAAATTGATTTGCGAATAAGTGTATTTCTCGAAAATATGTTTCTAACTGCTGAATGCAGAAAGTGTAGGTTAACATCACTTGATCGAAACATACTCATCACTGTGGTGAACGGTTGAAGTCATTTTAAAACAAAATGTAGGCTCTGATTTAAAAGAAAACATAATCGCTATGTGTCCGCTCTGTTTGCCTTCCTCAGGCCCGGTCTAAAATGGGGCGTCGCCGTTGGGGTTGTCGTGACGTTAATTGTCTTCCTGACTGTCAGCTACACGATCCAAGTTTTCCGCGTGTGCGATCGATGCTACCACGAATGTCCAATTATCGGCTTTGGCGCGGGTAAGTTGACGTAATTTGGCTTTTACGGTTTCTAATTCGCAACTATTTCCATTCAAAGACGTCCAAGTGTTTTTTTCGCCAGATGTGCACCGGTATGTAGGAGTCGTAAAACGTTTGTGCGACAATCGAATCGCATGTGATCGGCGTAAGGATTCACGTCTAACCTTCGAATCTTTATCAATGCCATGTATTGGTTGTCAGTATACTGGCTAGAAGTAGACTAAAAACCAATTGAGAGTCGATAACTCAAATCCGACCATGTAAACTTTCCCATTGGTGAATAAGTGAGTTGCTTCAACTAACGCCTCATGTTACCAGGTTGCGGCAAAACGCATGTTATCTCTTCGCTGAGCTGAAGCACCCTTTCAGTGTCAAACTGCCATGCCACCTGAAGGAAGCACGAGGGCTTGGATACCGCCAGGCTGCCTGGACAAGAGAAGTTGAGAGGCAGAGGTCGGGTTCGAACCACGGACCTTCCGGTGAGTAAATTCGCGCTCTAACCACTGAGCCTTCTGGTCCCGGTTATTTCTGTTGCAAAAATCAACTGTGGGAACATGTCACGGAGCTGCCAGTAATGTCTTAGTTCGAAAGCTGGACGCTAAAACATTGACGATGTACCCCTCTGTGGAAGACCTTCTACACAAGAGGCTTCCTTCAAGAAGATTGACTGGGCAATTTGGATCTTTTCTTCTGTAAGTGAGACCGGGGTTACAACTTGAGAATTCGAGAATAAACAGTGACCAGTTCCCCAAAATTATCGCTGTATTGAAGACTTGCTAAAAGACTACAACAAGATGAATTACTGATTCATCGTTTCACTTATTTGATTGGACTTCACTCAACTTGGTGAATGATGAAGATTTTAGTGACCAGGTGCTGGAAAGGTTTTACAGAGAACTGTCGCCGTTGCAAAACAGAAAAATATGGGTCACTTGATATAAACGAATAACAGTACCGATTTGAAGCATGTCTGTGCGGCAGGATGATTGCGTTGAGGAGTAACTGCTTTCGGATGAATCCTTACAGAGCAGGCAAATAAAATGAACCGTCCACTTGCTATCCTCATAGACCTGCGTAAATGCATCACCAACATTGTGGAATGCACACATTCTGATGCCGTGATGGATCGATATCGCGAAAAGTAAACTTTGTGTGTGATCCCTGTTTCATGTTAAGCGCTTGGTAAAAAACACGCACTGGCTCACTTGGATTTTGAATTGCGCGTCTCGGCCGATTGGTCGACAACAAGTTTCATGTTAAGCGCTTGGTAAAAAACACGCACTGGCTCACTTGGATTTTGAATTGCGCGTCTCGGCCGAAAGATTCGAAAACAAGGTCACAAATCGCCTGTGATTCCTGACTACTGTTAAGCGAAGCACGCATATATTTATGATGGTAGTGTGAAAATATTTTGGAGTTTTCAAATGATATTTCGTTTCCTACCAGCAGCTTCCAATCAAAGATTGGCCACGCGACTGGATGATCAGCAGTGTGATTGGTTCTCAACTAAGTCATGGTTCCAATTCACGTGATCACACAGACTGGCTTCTCGAGTGATAACTTCTCAAAAGAATGTTTCACTCATTCTATGAAACCGTTCCGCCCGTGAACCTCATCGAATCCGTGCAAGTAATAGATAACAAGAGCGCTAGCACACTTTACTCCATATGGGTTGTCAAACTGATACTGATAGGGATTCCTTGAATACAAAGACCATGTTATTGTGAGTGAATATCTGCGCGAATAAAGCGGTCACGTGGCACCATCGAGTGGATAACAATCAACTAAGTGCATTTGTGACTACAATTCAGAACATAATTACACAGGTTGATCAGGTTGACGCTGATCTGTTTGCAAACCTTTCGTCGCCATACCAGGGGATGTCATCACTAACAGCCACCTACTCATTGATGATGTCTCCTCGTACGGTAACGAAACGTTTACAATTCATTTGCCAAACACGGCGAGAAGGTCGAAATTAGACCATTGTTCTTCTCAGTGAGCCGACTGCCCATTGCAGAAAACACATTTCACGACTTTCTTTTTTTAACTAACTGATACGGTTCAATAGCACATGAACACTGGTATCCAGATCGGACGTTAAAAGGTTAAGATGAACAAAAACAGCATAATGGGCATCCCCGAGTTGGACATTTTTCAAAATAGTGGCGAATCGATTAGATTGGAAGCATGACCTCCTTGCGGGTAATCGAATTCTCATTTCGAGATGGCTAAGTGTACATCTTACGATTTGTACTTAAAATGGACACAAACGTGGATGTGAATTACCCTGATTTCACCTTACATTAGACTCGCCTATCCTTGTAAAACTTTGGAACACAGTTTTTCTTGGAAGAATGCAACAATCACTGAACATTTGGACAAAAGTTGTCGTCTGCTGTCGTTATGTCGCCAAGCATATGAAGTCGTACGACAGAATCAAACTTCCTGTCCAACTTCCGAACCGTCTGTTTGCACAAGCAAATTGCCACATGTTTCCGCTCTTTGGACAAAGTTGAAACAGTCAAAGACGGATTACAAAGTGTTTTTTTTTCGGAGACAGAATGCTTTGGGAACAAAATAGAAAGCGAAACTTAGTGAGCTACATGAAAGATAACATAAATCAGGATGGCATTTCGATGATACAAACAAATTTGTGTGACATGGTTCACGAGTTCCTGAGATCAGGCAAATGATAGAGATAATCAATTGAAGCGATGCGTGGTTCTTTTCAGGTCGGGTGACGCGACAAAAAGTGTCGAATTTTATTGAACCAACCGGCAAGTGATTGATTGATGTAAAATGAGCAGGTGTTGCCCGATTTATTCCTACGCAAAATATTTGGGATAAACCGTGTTCTGGTCATATCCTCTTCGACGATCATGTTTTCGTACAAGAATACGCCGGTTTGTCTCGAAAAACTAAGGACATTCAGCTACCATCTCGCTAGTTCAGTACTTCACTGATATCTCCTCATATTTACTCAACATTTAAGACTATTGGAGACATAAAAACAGCCAGTTTGATGGGTGAGAACAGACAGATGTCGTTTTAATACACTTCCCAGGACTGTCTATCTACAGGGCAAATTTCGTTGATGTCACATTTTATTCAAACTTTTACGTATTCACGTGGCATTGGAACTCGATGTGTCCTAACTTCGCCGTCACTTATTTTTCACGCGTGGGATGTATTAATGCACTTTTGATGATGGCCATAATAAAATTCAAAGGTATATGGCACTAATAGAAGTTTCACTATGGTTGACAGTGGTCAGTTGCAACACGCATAAACTGTGGAGAAAGTTAAAAGGGGAACTTATAGTTTTTGAGAGTTCTTTTGCGAAAGTCCGGACGGCGGGAACGTGTTTTCTCCACAAAACAGCTGGTGCATGTGTTCAATAATTGTCCGTGGGCTTGCGCATTGTTTTACTGGTTGACTTCCTGCTCCCTGCGCGCGCGCGAGTCTGTGTTCGGTTTCCCTATAAGTAGGTCCGTTTGCGTGTACGTGGGTGTGTCAGCACATGAGTAGTTGCTACGCTCACTAGACGGTACAGATAATCGATGTCCGATGAGTCACCTTGATGTGATGTGTTCTGCGAGTATGAAAAAAGACAAGTCTCGTCATCCAGTGAGCGACTCTGAGCTGAACAGTCAAAAATGTGAGTGACCAGGTAGCTACAGATTCGCATGCCATGTTTGCGTGTAAACCGACTTCCAGAGTGAATAGTTCTCAGATGGAGAGTTTACCCAGCTCATGAGAGTTATTCTTTCTTTCTGAGATATCTTGGTTATCGAACCAAACACACAAAACAGAATCGAAAAGGCGGGAACCTTGTACACAAGTCGAATCCGCAACCCTCAGCCGAATTGAGTTACCACGGACGCTGTCCGCGGTGCACATCTGCGCTTGGCTTCACATTGAATTCCTACATCTCTGTCCAAATAATCAAAGTTCCGTGTCCTTTGGTCCCTCGTGCCAAATAAATTAGCCCAACCTGATGATCCAACGGAAGTTAACACCAAAAATTTGTTGCAGTGGATGCAAAGCGGTCTCATATGGATTGCACCGGTGTATGCCCAAATCTTTCCAAGACCCTATTATCCTTTGATTGTCAATTCAGTTAGATGATAAACCACTGTTTGATGCACTGATTTTCTGGCCACAGACCGGGAGAGAAACATCACAGTGCTTCAGGTAACGAACGAGTAGCCCGAAGCGTCAACAACGGCTCAGATAACTTAGGTTGCCAGCGAGGTTGAACACGCTATCGATTTTGATGGCTAACAGGAAACATGACTTGAACGTTGTGCAAAACGATACAATGAAAATATCGATTCTCCTGGTATCGGCGAGGAATTGGTTTTTCAACTTATGGATCATTGAAAAGGTTCAGTTTTGTGGGCGAACAACGTCTGGTTGAAAATCAATTTTAATTTTATCAGGAAGGTCAGCTTCCTGAAAACAACCACTGAATGCCCGAAATCTATCGAGACTCTCAGCTCCGTTAGATGCTGACCAGACAGACAACGCCCCCTCAATATGCAGCGCGTCACAGCATTGTATCAAACCCAAACGGCACGAGTCAGCGTTGATCAAAATCAGACAACGCCCCCGCCATATGCAGCCTCGTATCAAAGCCAGACGCGTGCGTCAGCGTTGGACCAAGTTCAGACAGTGTCCCTCTAATAAACAGCACTTGCACACAATCACGCTCTCGCACTCGCCTGTTCGGAACATAGCTGTTGTGTTCCCTTCTCCGAGTTTTTTCTCCGGCACTAGGCACTGGAGCAGGCCAGCAGCAGATACCACAGATTGGCAAGTCAGACGATACAACAGATTTTAACGGAACACGCAACTGAATACCAGAGGAATCTCTCTCTCCTGTAATGTTACTCAGCGTAATTTAGCACAAAAATGCCGCCTCATGTTTCAGTTGACCCAATATTCGATTAGCTGGAACATACTACTGATAATCGGCGTCCTCAAGAGTAGTATATTCCACCTTGTTTTCTTATCCTAATACGTCTCATCGAATTTATGAACTTGGACAATCTGTGTGGTAACTGGCATGTGACGAGAATCCCATTGGCATCTTTATCAACCCGTGTTGCAAAATTTCTGCTTGTTACGCTCAACGCTGTGTTGATCTGAATTCCGGCCACTGAGACACATTTGCCTTGAGGTACAGTTAACCACCGCGCCTCGCATAAGATCGCATTTAGTTGTGAATGAAAGCAACGCCTGATGCAGTGTCTCTGGTGCTAGCCAATCGAACGAGGATTTGGGATCGCCTGTTGTTCACAAATTAAAGCGGCCTTCAGACTTCGATCAGAAGGAATCCACCAATCATAAGGCTGGAACGAGTTTGACTAGTGTACTTGTCTTGGAAATGCTGCGAATCCATCTGCTCGCTGTTATCTGTATCGAACTAGAGAAATCGGTCTAGCGTATAATAACCTGAGTGCAACCAGTGTA